CGTGCGGCGTCCGCGCCTGAGGCCGCCACAGCGGCGAGTGCGGAGGGCAGCGCGCGCTCGTCGCACAGCAACCAAGCAAGGGCACACAAAATACTGGCACATGGTGCTTTTTTTGCTTCCTTGCATACGCGGACAGGTTGCAGGAGTCTGTGAGAATGCAAAAAACCTCCTAGCCGCATCCTCATCATTCCCTATCGGGAGGGTTTTGGCGCATTGCCCGTCCACAGCATGTTTCCGTTCACAGCATGTTTCAGACCTTTGTGTATGAGAAGAGTGCGCAGATCAGCTCTCCCCCACTCCCTAAACCCTGCTTTTATAAATGTATATTCAACTGGCTGTTTGGTTTTCCACATTGAAAGATTATGCTGGTTGGGGTTCAAACAACCCAATGTTTGCAGTCTGACAAGTTAAAGTGTGACAAGTTCATTTCATTTAAAGCATAATCGTTGCTAGAGTGCTAAAGCTACACACTGTCAATCTCGCAACCTTTGAGTGATAGAAACCGCTTCTGGAGGTACATGTTGTCATGATCTCATACCTTTGAGAGGAGATTTCGTTGCTGGAGGCACACATTGTCATGATCTCACGCCATGGAGACAGAAGTCGTTGATGGTTTTCACAGAGTACAGCAGGGTGGCAGCTCAGATGCCATTCAAGGTCAACACCCTAAACGGCCTTCAAAAAAAAAAGGGCTCAACTTACCAGCGTGCGGCGGCGAAGGAAAGGAGCGCAGACCATAGGCCATATGGTGGCGGCGCCGGCCGCGCCCGGCACCTTGCGAGCAAGCGGACAAAGGTATAGCGGCCTCAGCACTCCAACGCCCCTCAATCTCGAGCCAGGACTGTGAGCCGGCAGCGGTTCGCCCTGCGCGAGGCCCGCGTAGGCCCGCGCGAGGCAGCGGTCAGAAGCCACATTTAAGAGTCCTATATGTTCTAAGCAAGTAGCTGTTTGGCCAAAACCCGGGTTTTTGTTAAGGGGTCTACACTTGGCCCTGCGCGCAGCAGGGGTCAGAAGCCACATCTAAGAGCCTTGACCTAGCTCGCGAATCACATCACCCGGCCCTGATTGCTTAACCGCCATGTCAACGCAGAAAGATGTGCATTCCCTTAAACAGATTGATGCGAGCTAAACCCTTCCTTGGTAGGAGTGGCCGCAGAACCGGTTCGTTCCTACATGTCCACGCTCGCACGCAGCTACGACGTAGGTCAGCACTGGATCGCGCAGAAACTAGAGACTGGATGGGAAACAACATATGATAAAGATATGCACAAGTGGCCCAAACCCTGCGTTTGTTTCATGGTTTTGCATGGCCCAGCTGGGTTGAGGTATATGCTTTCATCGAGAATCCCCCCCACATTCACACTGCCGTAAGTTGACCCTCTTGCTTTCAACAAGAATCCCTATGTTCACGCCGCCACGGGCTGACCACTAAGAATGTCTCCAGAGTGGGGCGCATATCTGTTGTCAATGGAAACATGCACCCACGGTCACCCCGCTCCAGGTCGACTTTGCGCAACGCGGGACGGCTTAACTCGTAGAAGCTAAACAAAAGCTGAAGCTTCCGAAATTTCAAATCCCCCCACAGCAGTGGGGCACTGCCGGCATAATGGCCACGGATATAGTGAGTGCGCATGATCCACCGTGTGCTGCCCCTAATAGCTAGCGCTCCTCGAGTCTAACGGAAAAACCTGCGATGCGCTCCTAGCCAACACCGTCTGTGTCTATCTAAAAACACCTTCGATGTTTCACTTTTCGGAAGTTTAGTGGCACGAGTTCAACCAAAGCAACACGGCACCCATTAGGCTCCAACACGTTTAGGACAGCGTTGCGACGTCGGACCTAGAAAGTGCGCCCGCGCATAGGGACATTCAAGCAGGACACGCGGAGCATGCTGTCGACTGGGAAGTACGCATGTGAACAACAGCGGTAGCAAACACGCCTTCACACTGCTGCTCCTGGGCACTGGCAGGAGCCGGGTCATAAAGTTTCCTGTGCTCCCTCATGGCTTCCAGGCAGGTGCACTCAGCGTGCGAGCTAGGGCAGCAGGCCTGGGCCATGTCACAGCCATCTCATCACGCTGGAACGGAGCATTGCACCTGGTGCACCCCCACGCCGGCTTGAACCTCAGCAGGTGACGGTCGATCTTGCTGGCGCGACTGCCGGCTATCCGAAACAAGAGGAAAGTCGCAAAATCCGCTGTGTAGCTGTCGAACCACCGGCAGAAAGTTGATTGGCAGCAATTCAGGCATTAATTAGTAGGCGAGTTGGGGAAGTTGCCCTCCTGGGCCTGCCATTTGGCATTGACGTGAAGTCACGTCGCCTGCCTGCGCTTGCCCACGTGCAGCCGCTCCTCACTGCCCGTCCGACCGCACAGAGCGACCGACCAGCAAATTTGGATGCTGCCGTAACCGTATGGTATTCGTCTAGCGGCTAGCGCTACCACCCTTGTCGTATCACACGTGAAAAGGCTCCAGATCACGGGCGCGATGACGCCACACGGCACGGACGAGGCGACACCGCCTTTCGACCTCGGGCAAGCACTTGTGCCGCTACTATACCGCTCCAGCAGCTTTCCGCAGCTCGGCCCAGGCAGCTGGGTGCTACGCTGGAGTGGCCTGATCTCCGTCGCGGCGCAGCGCCCCCCCCGTTCTCGAGCCCGTGTGGACGCCAGCCTCATTGCTCCCCGCTGGTCCGCCACATGGTCAGCCCCAACATCGTCTGCCCAGACATACTGGCAAGCTGCTCCATCGAAGTAACTGGCCAAACACATCAGCGGCCCCAGCCGCAGCGAATCCAGCGCCTCGAACATCCTCGAACATGGCTTGCTTGGAGACGTGCTCCACGGATCTCCGTGGTACCTATGGCATCAACCGGGAGCAGTCTTGCGAGGGTCGCGCTGCCTAATTCCAATCATCGCGGTGAAACATGGCACATGGGATGGGGACTCGACAGCCGTTTGCCCGTCATGCCGTGGATATCATACAAGAAAATAAAAGCCGCTGCCAATGATCAATGCAAATGTGTGTAGAAAAAATCGCACGCTTCGAGGGCCCATGTGCGATCATGTGCGCACATGGTGCCGTTCCTCCGGCAACCTCTTCCGCATTGCCGCAGAAGAACGCAACGAGAGTACGAGGACACCCAGTCGATCATGAAACCCCTCGGAGAGCGGGCTCATGTTTTGCCGGCAGACAGCTGGCTGGCCTGACAGATTACGATCATCTTTCTGATTTTTGCGCCTGCGCCCCGAGTTGAGCACTCATGCAGGACGTCGCCCGGCTCGTCCAGCAGCATGCACCGTCATCCTCGGCGTCGTCTCCACAGCGTTACTCAATTGTTTGCGTTTGTGCTTTGCACGAAGACCAACACATACTCGCATCTGGACCTGTACCTGTGCAGATCTTTCAAGCCAGCGTGCTTGTTTGCTCCCTCGACGTCGGTTACGTTGCTCCTGTAAGCATCTCTCTGTTTGTGGGGGCTCTGACAAAGCGCCCGCTGTGCGAGCCAATGAGCCACCGGGTTCCCGGCCCATGAAGCGGCGTAAACTAAAGTCAACTTGTCTTTTGCAACGAAGTTGCTGCACGGCAAAGTTCAAGGTAGGTGTTGTGACGCTTGCGCGCGGCCGCGCTGACCGCACTGCCTGGCAGGGTGTCTGTGCGGGGGTGGGCCTCGCCTCGCCGTGTCAGTGATGGTCGGTGCCAATATCGGCCCTGAGCTAGTCCAGCCGCATCGTTCGCCGTCTTAGTCTTGGCGGCAGCCATCAGCCACCACGACGCGACTCTTTAATCATGAGTTGAAATCCAAGAAAATGACAAGACGCAAAGTCTGCATGAGATTGCGGCGAACATTAGCGATGAAACTCCGCTTTTTGCGTTCAAGGCCGGGATGGCAAAGGAGGTCGTCGAGGACTTCCTCCTGCGGCTGATCGTCTCTGGTGCACAGGTCTTAACTTGGAAGACTCTCGATCGAAGGTCTGGGGTCGCCAGGCAGGCGCCGCCTCCGTCGCCTCCTGAGGACGGCCGATCCGGCACGAAACCCTCCGGGCGGAGCCTTCAGTCTCTTATCAAATCTCGGCAAAGAAGCCCCTCACATAAGCGACGATTGTGACGGGACCGCAGCTCCTGACTCATGGCGGCTGAAACAAGATGGTCGCGGCCGAGCGCCCAGCGCTTTGCGAAGTGCTTCGGCGATGCGTGTCGAGGAGACGATCAAAAGTGAAGCCGCGGCCGTTGCTGAGGCCGCGGCAGCATGCTTCGTCGCGGGTGCAAACGGGTGCAAGACGTCCGTGACAACGCGGCGTCTCGGCCACAGGATGTCGTGGCGAGATTCGAGGCGTTGCATGCCGCTGACGATGGAATGACGCCGTTTGACTCGATGTCACGTGTGGATTTTGCTATTCAGTCGACGACGCACGAGCACAGCAAGGGCGATGCTGGCCAGCATAATGGGGTGCCCGGGCACATGTGCAAGCCGCCGCTGTCGCCGTACTCGAAGCTGCGGTTGCCCGACGCGGACATTGCGCCCGACTGTACTAGCATTGACCACGGCAACGACAGCATCTGCCTTCCCACCACCCAGGTCGCTGCGAGGCGGATTTGTCAATCGTCCTCATCATCATCATCATCATCACGATCCAACACCATCATCATCATCATCATCACGACCAAACACCACCATCATCATCATCCATCATCATCATCAGACACAGGCTGCGCTTAGCCGCTGCTGGTGGTTTGGTGGTTCAACTCCAGCTCTTCCTTGACGCTCTCCCCACAAACGCTTTGCCATTGTCTTTGGGGTCAAAACCGTCATGCGTTTCATTTGAGATGTCAACTAGTGCCGTTTGTCTGCATGCTTTCATGGCTGCAGGCAACGAGGTTTCGGGGAGAGTTTTGTGCATGGCATCACAAGCGATCTAGCCGGCACTGCCAGTCACCGGCACCTGGCGGCATCAGATTGTAAAGTGCTAAACCCTAAACCCTAAACACTGCCTTTTTCCATGCGACTGTCATGCGACAGAAGCCCAGGGCTGCCTGCTAAAGCTCCCATAATGCCTTTGGCATTCTGGATCTTACCATCTTCCTCTGGCCCAAGGCCGCCAAGGCCCGTACACCCTAAGCACTACCTAACGCCTGAAGAAAGACGGCATTGCATGCCCTTGAACTTCCAACCGCCGAACATACACCGGTGCCTTGGTGAGCGAGAAACACTGCCCTTCACTTTGATCCGATGTTGGAGCAGCTCGCGGCCTCAACACGGCCAGTACAGTCGCGTGCTCCTTCCGCAATCTCCACCCGAACCCCCCTTAGAAACAGACAACCGCATGCAAACATAAATAAATCTAGAATTGCAAAAATGCTCTTACATGCGTGCATACATACACATATGTATATATATATATGTGTATATATATATGCACATACGTATATGTATATGGTAATCCCTCTTCAGAACCAATCTCGACATATATATATATATGTATGTATGTATGTATGTATGTATGTATACACACTTGTACATGTACATGTACACTACACATACACATTCATATCTACATAAGGTATAGATATAGATATGGATGGGTACGGGAATACATACACAACTACACACACACATATATATATATATCTTTGTCTATTTATTTGCTGATGTATTTATAAATGTACACATACACAAGCACGTGAGCAAAGCACATCGGCGCCTTTGGCAAGCCGAGCTTCTCCTGGGGCTTGATCCGATTGAAGATCTGGCTGTACCTTGAGGCTTGCGAGGTGTCATGCACACTGCGATGGGGCTTAGGGTGTAAACCTCTGAATTTCATCTCAGGTAAGTTGCTGTGGGCCCGCCCAAGTGTCTCGGCTGGTCCTGGCATGCTCTGACGCGCTCAGAGCTGCCGTCACAAGAGGGGGTCTCGGAAATTGACTGTTGAAGGCTCCTACACCACCATATCAGAATGCAACGATACCGCCGATGCGTTTAGTCTGTTCGATCCTTGTGCATATTCTGCAATATTCGGTAGTTGTGTTCAGTGGAACGTTACTATACGGCGCAATGATTGCGGTATACTACAACGATCACGTGAGGACATTCTGGACTCAGGTATCTTATTGTGGACCCAGGCCACCCCTGCCTTGCCACGCGCTCCAGGGTCTTAGCTTTGCGCCAGCTGAGTTCCGTGAAGCGATTCGGCCTCGAAAAGTACCAGCTGAGGAAATGGCGAAATTGAGTTATCCTCGCGAAGCTCCTAGACATCGTTTTGAAACTCTCAAGGCCTGCACTCGTGAAACCAAGAAAGTGTGCATCGGACTTGGGTGACAAGTGCCACACGCACCAGCCGCCGACTAAGCCTGGAACAATTGGTACAGACCAGGACCCAAATGATCCGCCGCCGTAACTTGCCTCGGCAGAGGCCTGAAGCTGTCGGTGAGCGAATTTTGGCAACGAGAATTGGAATCAGAAAGCAAACACGAAAAGGCACCTGCCGGTCGCCGCCTGTCGCAGCAGCTTACTGGCTTTCTTTGCTACTAGGTACCCGGAGAAATGCTCCCTGCCGCCGGTTTGTAGAACAACGTTGGCCCGCAGATGAGATCATAAAAAGCCCACGAGTCGCAAGCCACCTACAACTCTCAACCACACACGCACATGCACGCATGCGCGGATGGATACCTGTATGTCAGTGTCTGTCTGTCTGCCTGGCTGCCTGCCTGCCTGTCTGTTCCTGCCTGGCTGGGTCTGTCTGTCTGCGTCTGTCTCTCTGCTTGCCTGCATGCATGTATGCACCACTATCACAATACGACATATCACCCTCACTTAACCCTGAACCCTAAACCCATCATCTCATGCAGCACTGAGCAAGTTGCCAGGGAGATCTGTCCTGGCTCTTCGGAAGAGTCCACTCCGGCGTAGTGCCTTCCTGAGAACCTGGGAGCTCTGCTGTGGGGGGTGGTTTTTGATGGCTTTTGGGACTTTTCGGGGGCGTGGGGCCGTAGGGATTTTAGGGTTTTGGCGCGTTTTGAGTTCAGTGTTTAGGGATGTTAGGGATGTCGGGGGCCGTTCTACGGGTCCTTTGTAAATGAGGTACCATCGGAAGTACAAGCAACCTCCCTTGTGCAACTTCCAGTACCTGGAGTGCTCTAACTTTTGGATTCTACTTCTGAGCTCCAGGCGAACGGGCTTCTTGCTCATGCCTTCTTCGTACTGCCTGTCAGCTTGGATTCCCCCAGCTACCGCAAGTGTCACAAACACGTGAAAGAATCGTCTTCCAGGGAGCCCAATACCCCTTAATTAGGCAATATACAAAAAATCATAATACTAAGGCCCCCCCCCCAATAATAAAAGCTATATTCCTCATAATTTAAGCTATCTTCCTCATAATTTAAGCTATATTCCTCAGAATGTAAGCTATATTCCTCACAATTTAAGCTACATTCCTCAGAATTTAAGCTCTATTCCCTCATTTAAGGGGGCGGGGTATTGGGCTCTCTGGGTTCTCCAGTTTGCCGGGCGGCCCAGGTCCAGGATTCTTGACGCCGGGCAGGAGGCGCTGAAAGGCTTGGCTGCGATCCTGCGGGTCGCCATGCTTTGGGGTTTAGGGTTTAGGGCTTTTGAGGGTTTTGAGGGTTTGGGGTTTAGGGTTTAGGGTGGTTTTCAGGGTTTTTTAAAGTTCTCACTGGCCCGGTAAGATGCTCCAGCACTGGTTTTTGCGTGGCCTCGTAGGGCATGAAGACGTGCTTCCTGACACGCAGCGAGTGCAACAGCTGCAAAAAATCCCGGCAACGTCTATGCTGTGCTGCTTTGCCAGGCGAATCAGAGGGATTAGCTGTTGGGAAACGTGCATGAAGCCTTACTGAAGTCCAAGCTTTCCAAGCTGCAGATTTGTCCTGCATTCCTAAAGCTGAAAATTAACAACGATCATCAAAACAGTTCATCCAGAAGCCTCCGACTCGAAAGTCGCTCTGCAGAGGGTCAAGGCACACAGGGATCCCTTCAGACTGCTGCTTGCCGAGCGTCACGCGCGCACTCCTTCCGGCGGTCAGGCTTGCAGAGGCTCAACAATGCCGAGAACCGACAGATGAATGCATCGTCGTCGCAAAAAATCATCGTCACCACCACCATCATCGCGAATCGCGGTCCAGCCCAGCCCTTTCAAGCATGTCGAGGTCCTCGTCAGCCAACCAGATGGGACCTCCTGTGTCGGGCCCGGGCAGTAGGGAAGAAGGCAACAAGAGCGAGCGCTTCTGACATTCGGCCTCATATCTCCGCTTGGTTGGAAAGTCGCGGTCAACCGGATAGTGGCCGGGCCTCAGGTTTAGAGATTGGGTAGGGTGGGTTGGAGCTTCAGCCGCAAGAAGGGCCCCGGGCGCCAGGTGGTCTGCGGAGGTTTTCGTCCTTCCGCCCGGTCAAGAACTCAACAGAGCGAGTCCCAGATTGCTAGCAGACCAGGACCAGTCGAAATAATCCCGGTCGGGTTTAGGGCTTAGGGTTTAGGAATTGAGTGCCGGGAGCCGCAATTTGTAGCCTCCTCAGTACATCTGGGCTGCAATCTTGTCTCGTGCTCGACTCGGTGTTCTAGAGTCTCTCAAGATCTCTGCGGATCTCTTCACCGCCCGGCAGATGCCTGGGAAGAGGTCGGCCGATATCCTCTCCGAAGGAGGTTTTGGAGATGGTGAAGCAGGGCAAGTTCCTCAGATCTCCCCGCTCTGCCCTCACAACAGAAGTAAAGAGCCCCCAAAAAACTGAGACATCTGCCGATGAGTGGAGAAGTTGCCCAGATATTGCCTCAACTCCAAATACTCGGGGTAATCGGACCTCAGCTCAACACAAGTCTCCATCGGTTTAGGACTCCCTACACTATGGGGTTCTAGTTCTACAAGCAAGCAAGCAAGCAAGCAAGCAAGAGATGAGTCGAAGACTGTCAAGGTTATTCCGAGAACTAGGTCCAGGTCCATTGAACCTCCCCCCTCCCCGATCATACCCCCGCATTGCTCGACGTAGGCGTGGCCAGGGCAAGCCACAAACTCAGAAGTGCACAAAGGATCCTAACCGTCCTAAATCAACTTCGCCTCCGTTTTTTCATAACCCTAAACCCCTAAACTCTAAACCCCTAAACCCTAGTGGTGCAAGGCAGCATCCTGCGCCCGCTGACCAAGAGAACGAGGCTCTCGTCTGCTCCTCTCGACGGGTCCCTTTCTCCAGAGGGTTATGGAATCCTTAAGGGAGGGGGTTCTAAGAGGGGTATATAACCCAATAATCCCAAGGATCCCATACGAGGGTCTTCAAACTAAGTTGTCGGCACGAGATCCATCGCCCACCTCCTTCAAAACTTCGAGTAAGCAAGATGGTTAGGCGTTATTTGCTAAAGTGAGCTGCAGAACGATGCCTAGGGCTCAAGGACTAGCAGCAAAGCTGTGGACTCTTGAACCATGTGGACCATGTGACAACCTTGAGCCTGCAAGAGCCGGCCCAGACAGACATTCGCCACAGCCGATCTGCTCAGAACCATGCAACCTCAAGCCACCAGGGGGTCTCCCTCCCGCCCCCAACCCCAAGTAGCAAATTCCCAACCCTTCCCTCCTCGGCCTCTTTAGATAGGCACTTTAGGCTCAAGACATGGGAGTCGGACGCGAAGCCTCTTGCAAGATGCTTTTTCCCGAATGAAGCGATTTGAAGCCTTCTTCAGCCCCTTGAATGCAAGGTTAGATCCATTGTCTCCGCGTCGCAGACTTGCCATGTGGACTTCTTTATCTTTTGAAAAGAACTTCATGGGCTAATCAGGATCATGGCAAAAGCCGCTTGACGAAGACACTGCAATCAATAAAATAATAACCAGCGGAGATGCAGTTCGCATACCATCAGCTCAATCGCAGCAGCTGCTCTCCCGTAGTCTAGACTCCGTAGCCTACTGCGGCTCCTTGCCCGTCAAGACTATTGAGAGCGGTACAACTGAGCCGGAAAATCATTATCTGACTTGCTAGCAGTTCACACGAGGCCATCTTTCGTTGCATTGGAGGAGTCGCTGTCATCGTCCCCCTTAGGTGTCGGACATCTTCGAAGATCAACGTCGGCCGCAGGGTGGCGCCTACTGCTTTGGCAGGAGCGTACATAGCAGCAGCCTTCCTGAATCATCTCTATTGTGAGTTCAAGCGACACTGTAAGCGCAGTCTGAGTCGGAGTGGCGTGGTTCCTAACTTCATTACTTCACTCCAGGCGCGGTGGCACCCCCGGGTCAGACGTGCAACTGTCTTCGCCGCAGGTGGCTTGTCGGGGGCGAAGCGGTGTAAGCAAATACTCATCTCACATTCCCGTGACATGGCTCGCGTCAGCTTGTCCACTGTGGCAGTCCAAGGCCAAACCAACTGAAATAGCAGCTTTCCTGGAGAAACCCCGTTCCAATTTTTTTTCCAGGCAAGCAACAAATGAGAACTGCGGCAAGGAGTGAAGGCCCATCATGTCAGGTCCGAAGACGTGAGCACCTGTTCGGTTGAAGAGGGTATTCCTTGTATATTCCCTGACCCTGGAGTTCACAAGACGTCTATTCCAAAGGGCTGAACAATTTCACCAATGCACACGACAGGCAGAGCTGAACTTTGTACCCAGTCGGCCTATCTTCTTGCAGCAACCAGGGTTCTCAGCTGGCGGCGGATCCTGTCGGAATGGCAGACTCCATTGCATGTGCATTGTTCTTGCAGGACGTCTCTGCACAGCAGCAGCGACCATCATGCCTTCCCGGAGCCCTAGGCACCAAACCTCAAGCCCAAATCTCCTACCCTTCCACCCTAGACCCTGATACCCTGAACTCTAAGCTCGTATACAGCCTAAACCCCTGAACCCTGAAGCCTTAAACTCGAAACTCATACACCCTAAACTCAAAACCCTTGAACCTCATACCCGCTAAAACCCTTAAAACCCTAAAGCCCTCCCTGGCCCAGACCTCCAAGGCATCCTTGAACACTAAACCCTGAACCCTCAGAGCCCGATGCCCTAAACTTCGTCCGAGCGTGAGTGCCAAAAAAACCCTAAACCCGATACACCCTTAAGCCCCAAACCTGAAACCCTAAAACCCTAAAAACCCTAAAACCCTAAACCCTAAAACCCTAAACCCTAAAGGCCCCTTTAAAGGGGCCCTATAAACCCAGACCTCCAAGACATCCCAGGTGTCATCGCTATTCGCGACATCGCCTGTACAGTCGGAGGGCTTAGGGTTTAGGGTTTAGGGTTTTAGGGTTTTAGGGTTTAGGGTTTAGGGTTTTAGGGTTTAGGGTTTAGGGCTTAGATTTGATTTTTTTTCTAAGGGGGTGTCTATAGGGCGTGGGGTGGAGGCCTTAAGGGTTGAGGGCTTGGGATTTAGGGTTTGGGGTCTGGAGTTGAGGGTTTAGGGGTTCAAGGTTTGGGGTCATATGATAACAGTACTACAGTACTTTCTTGATAGTGAGTATATCATAGCTTGAGCATGATGGTACAAATAGTCATAACTTTGCTTATCAAGAAGGACAGTGTAATAAGTGAAACAGTAGCTACAATAGTAAGCTCAGGGGGCTCCGACAGTTCTACGCCGCCTTTTCATCCTTGCAGCTTTGCCCTGCCAGACTAATTCTGGGTTCCGGCCTGTGATCTCTGCACCCTTGCCCAGAACGATGTCCTCAGCGATTGCATTAAACTCTTGGACAAACCCCTGGTCCATTATCTTTCGTTCGCTGTTCACAACATCTTGCTACCGGTGCATCCAGCGATCACCAAAAACTCGGTCCATCTCGGTCCCCTCCTTCATGCAGGGTCTGGGACACTGCTCATGCAACTACGTGGCATGCTGACCGTCTCGGGTACAGCTCTGCCACGGGTATTGGTCTTATTGCTAATCCTCCCATCCCCAAAATTACGGCTACTGCTGCTGCTACCACCACTTATTACCACAGGTTAGGCTCTACCCCTGTTGCAGCAACGTCGTGAAGGAGTTCATGGGATTGATCCTGGAAGGCAGGAGAGCCTAGTGTCCTACGAAGGAGGAAGACTTTAAGGCGCCCACCATGATTGCTCTCAGCTGCGAGACCTGTCAGTCCCAGGAGACTTGAAGCCTGCAACAAGTAAAAACAAAAAACATCCTGCACTGGTACGTCTGCTCATAAGGCCAGAAAGAGCCAGCAGCACCCATGGCTCATCCGAGACGGTGGACCACTGGTGATCGACCTGAACTCACGTAGCTCTGCATTGCGCATCCTGCCGGAGCCCCAGTTGGCCGCTCTTAAGCTTCCTGCGGCTTCGAGGGTAACACGCGATCCTTCTTCGAGGAGGCAGCCCTCTGGCGCCGACCAACCTGAAAGGGCTACATGCGCCCCCTTAGACCGCCGGGCTTTCTGCTCACTGAGGGTTCGAGAAATGTTGCGGCAGCGGAACACTCATCATCCAGCTCTATCTCCTCCCCGGAGGCGTCTTCCACCATCACAACCCTGGCACCTGTGACAGCGGCGAGACTCCCACAGTGTTCTCCCTGCCAAGAGGCATCGTGTAAGCTTTGCCTATGCACTCTTGGCTGCTCTGGCCTGGCCTTTCGGAAGGGAGTGCTGCGCAGAGGTCTTCCTATGCAAAAGGCGGTCAATTCTGCCTTCATGCAAGCTGAAGATTTTGATGATGATGAGGATGATGAGGAGGNNATGATGATGATGCTGATGATGAGTATGAGTCTGAGTCTGAGTACTTTGCCGCTGAGGGTCACTCGCAAATATCCGCTGCGAGCGCAGAGGCGTATGGCCGGATCTTGCACGGTGGCCTTGACCTTGAGGCCATACCTGAAAACTGTCTGCTCAAAGGTCACCATATAAGGGAGACCTTGAACAAGGGCTAGTATAGGGATTATCAGGGCTAATTACTGTGCTAGAAAGATAACGTCAGAGGTGACACTCCAGGAACAGCCCCAAAGCACATTCAGTCTCTGATAGCCCTTATAGTAGCACGCTTCGCCCTTATAGTATCCTTTATGGTCACCCTTACAGCAGCCCTCCTGTCCCGATCCTTTCCTGACATCTTCGGAGCAAAGTCCCTACGTTCATCCAAGCGTCGGCTTCTGAGACACAGAGAGCGCCTCTGTGCAAATTCGGAGCGCAGTCATTGCAGATAAGAGTGCGGATGCGCAAACCGCCATTAAAGCCTGTAGTCGCTGCAAGTCAGAAGAGAAGCTGTGGCTCTCACTGCAGGATAAATCTGCGTGAACTTTGGCATAAAAACCTGCGATTGTCTCACAGGGCGCTCAGGGTACTTGTCTTCGAATCACAGCCCCACATTGGGCCCTCACGAAGCCGAATCCAT